TATCCCACGTCTATAATTATGTTTATTATAAAATTAAAAAAAAAACAAAAAAAACAGTTGCACATTTTAAGTTTACTTTATTATACTTAAAATGTATCAATAAATACGAATTTGAAGATTGATTTTGCAAGTTCACTGAAGCACGATATCTTTAGAAAAATTCCTATTGGTAACTTGCGTATGTGATACATGCATCATGGTCCCAAACTTTATTGAAATTATTGTTCAGTTTCTTCTATGTCTTTGAACCCAGTTTTGAACAAGGTGAAACCTAATCCACATTTACTAAGACGCAAAGAGTGAAAACATAACGTTTCCTGTAGGGAAAGTAATACATCTTAAGAGGTAAGAGGATATTATGTCGTTTAATGGTTTTTATTGTTGGTCTGAATATCTTGGATTGTTGGATAAGTTTGAAGGAACAACGGAAAGTCCAATCCACTTGACGATAACAACAACAAAGAACAAATTTTAAGTTCCACGATCAGCAAAACCAGCTCTCATCAATAGGCATAATTTTATAAATATACTACGTGTAAACAGAAATTCCACTTATTTGTTAATTTCGAATCTATAATTCTTCATTGAAACACGAAGTCAATGTTCATAAAACTGAGCTTAATGGCTGGTAAATTGACCAAATTGTGTAATGATTACTTATGAAACTCCTTAACGTAGTAACTCACCCTAACAAATCAGTTACTAATTTTAGCCTAATTTGTTTTTTATATATGTTGCTCAAGTTGTTTCTTACTCTTTGAAGAAATTTCCAGTCATTAAGGCCATGTCCATCACATTATGTTAAACTATGTTCCATAAAAGAACAACACATTTGTTTGTTTGTTATTAAGCACTAAGCTACACAAAGGGCTATCTGTGCTCTGCCCACCACGGGTATCGAAACCTGGTTTCTAACGTTGTAAGTCCGCAGACATACCGCTGTACCACTGGGGGAAAAAAACATTTTGTATAAATTTCTAGATTAAAAATAAAGGACACAACATTGTTCTTTCCCTCGATTGTGAAATATGTTGAGCAATCCTACCGAGTAAAAAAAACAAAAAACAAATGCACATTAAACTTAAGTTTCCATAATTAGCAATAAGTTAACTTTTAACAATCAAAAACAATAATATTCGTAAACGTAATTATTAGATTAAAACATTGCTGAAATCTGTAAAATTTGAAGTATTGTATTAAAAATTGTTTCACTTTATTACTACTTTTAAACTGTTCGGTCACCCAATTTTTTGTTGGTTCATTTTCCGAGTCTTACAGTGCGAAGATGAGTGACTTTAAGCCCTTTATTATCACTTGCCATCCTGTCACCGAGGGAGTTATCTTCAGATATACAGTCAAGGTCATAAAGGACATCTATCAACTGAAGGCTTGAGAACACCCAGAGATTGTTTCTCCATATTTTTACTTAATTCAAAACTTGGTTGCTTTGTGGATAGCTTCCATTACCTAGATGAGAAGGCATATACCACTATGGTGGATACACATAAGTTTACAGAGGAATCACCATGTAAAGGGATGCAATATCATAGGGTGTTAAACATATACACACGCTAATGGAGGCAATACCTGTGGCAACCAGGTACTGAAATTTAAATAACAACAAACAAATACAGATAAAAGCACTACTCTAAATAGTGTTACACATACACAAACACTAAAACAACAAAAACACAATTAGAGACTGATACACAACTAAAAACAACAACAAATACACTCATGGAAAATGACGGTTTTATACTAGTTGCGCCAAAAGCCATCAGCACGTACAAGTACACAAAACATAAACACTCAGTTACAAGAAATAAGAAACTTAAAACACTCAAAGCCACCCAAAAATTACATCATCGAACAAGGAGTCTGGTTCATACAATACATGTTACGTCTCCGTTTGTTAATTGATTTTCCGTAATTTCGTTCCGACGAAACTTAAGCGACACAAGTCTTTACTTAATAAAACTGGTTTATTCTTTCCGAATATAACTTTACCGATACACTCAACTTCAACAATCGCGCTATGTCAACGAACGTCAATAATACTTCTGACCGCAGATCAATTACACACTATCTACCCAGACATTACATTCCCCTCTTTTATATACCAGCCTACCCTATATCTAGTAAGAAGTAGAACATTCGCCAAAGTACACGATAGTTCTAGAAACGTTGCGTCACAGTAGTCATGTGACTCGATGACGCAACACTGCCCCCTCCTTAGTATTGTCCGAACAATAACCACATACAATAAACCAATAACAATAACTTAAT